AAAGACTAAAGATCAAAAGTCTTCTTACACTATCAGCGTGAATTGCTTTCCGAACTGCTTCATTGTTCAGCCATGCATTTGCAACTTCATCATCCTAGATTTTTTTTAGCATATTTAAAACAATAAATAGGAATTAAGATGTAAACACAACATCATGCTGATATAATAGCAACTTTAGAACTCATTAGTAAGCTTTTAGCTAAAAAAACCCATAAATCATGCAAAATATTAGAATCGTAACTATAGAAAGCAAGTTCGATTTTACTTACAGTGCAAGGAACATCTTCGCTGTTCATAAGTTGAGGCCAAGTCGGAACATATCCTTCTCTTACAGGTGCTCGAAAAGGCCAAGCACGACCAAACATTCTCTTTCTAACCGGCAAAAGCCTTTCGGTCTCGCCTAATCTCCTAAAGCTCGGTGGCAAATTTGTATTCTCGAGCAGGATTTTACTTGATGGGCTATGGTAGCATGGCTCGAGAATGTCGTATATGTTCAGGCCCGCGATTGCCTGAAAATGATCCAAGTTGCAAAGAAAATTAAACATAAATGCTAATTCATTTTTTGTTTAACGTTTTTACGAAATTATGGAAATTGTAATGTATATATCTTACTGCATCGACTTTTGCAAGATTGTTTTCACAATTTTCACCATCGGGATTGTAGTAGTTTCCATTGCATTCGTCACTAACTGCCTGAAATGGTGAAAACGAATCTGTGAGAATATGGTTTGCTGAATTTATAAGAGACGTGTGTTAAATTCATTCTAAATTATACTTTCATTCTTCACTTTTTTAACAAATTTTCTAAGTAATAAATGCAAACATCCATGGAATAATTCAATTCTGTTCCTAAGAGATACTAATATGCAATGCAACGTCACAAAAGTAATTTACTTTTCCATCGAACACAATTAAACAAGCAGCATTGAAGGTAAAAAGTATTAGCTAGAGAAGATAGTGATTTTTTCAAAATATTTATGATTTATTAGAATAGGACTCAATATAGCACTCAAACAACATAAAACAAGGAAATAAATAAAGCTACATACCTCAAAAAGTTCGTCTGATATAAGACCCATACCGTGCGCAAACGGTACAAGGGCATTACCGTCAATCACATCATCCGTAACTCCATTCCCCACCATGTAACCCTGTACT